TGGTGTTAATCACACACGTTTTAAGACAAGGGCTACAAAGTAGTGGCCACACTTATCTAAAAGACACTCCATTCCTACTTTACATAGATATAGAGAGATATACTGTCATAAACTGAGAGACCTCAGCTTCAAGAGAGGGGTTTTAACCTGGTCCAGCTCCTACATTAGGCTGATAAAAGCCTCAGTTCTACTGTAAACTTAGGTGCAGGCTTTGGCTGAAAACACGCTCTCAGTGGGTTCAATTAAAATGAATTTGGCCCTTAACTCGCCTCATGTCTGATTTCTGATCTGGCTGACCCTCCTAGAGGGTTTTCTCATTTCCCAGTATTTAAAAATGGGTCATTCAGAGTTTTATGACCACATGCAAAATATTAATTACAAAGTTCACCCAACACAGTTTTGGTTTGTTGGTGGGATATCTCGTCCCTCAAAGAAAAGCAAGGATTTGTGACAGTGCGCTCTGCTTCAGAGATTTACACAGTAAATATTCTTGGGTGGTTAAGAAAAGCTCAGTCTTTCTTAAATTCTTAATTACTTTAGATTTATAAGTTACTGTTATAGTATAGCAAATCATGAATTCTTAGATTAAGTCGTAAGTTAAGTTAAATGCTGCAAAATATTTTTTCCTTCCCTGTTTCTATGGTATCCCCACCTTTAATTCCCAATTCTGACCGTAGGTCTGTTGTTAAAACTGATATTTACAGTGAAATACAATAGAATGCTTTACTCATCACCACTTCTGCCAGCTCTTCTGTAGAGGTTGTGGCTACCAAACAGCAGTTTGGGACTACAAGGGTGTATTTTAGCCACACACTGGAATTTAAAAAGTCTTTCTGGAAAAAAATGTGCCACATTAATATTTTTTTTTAAATCATTAAAATAAAAAATCTAATTTATTATACTGAAAATCAGATCAGTATTTTTTTTTGAGTTTTCCAATACAGATGTTTTGCCAATTTTTAGTGTTAATGTCCACTGCTATTTTATTTTACTTGGTGAGGGCAAGTCATGATGACAGTGGTTTTCCCAGGCTCATGTACCTCCTACTCACATGAACCACAAAAACATATTAATATCTGCCTTTAATACCACTAAAAGTCCACAGATGACCCAAGACACCTGACATTTAAATTCTAGCTGGGTTTTCATTCCCTTTTTTAGTACCAGAGAAGGAAAAGTTACTTCAGGAGATGCTCCTCAAGTTTATTGCCTCCGCAAATTCCAGCCTTTGGAGCGCGTGTGCCTCTGGTTGCAAGCCTGAGAAAATTCCCTAATTATGACTTTTAGATGGCATGTAACCTCACATGCAATTTTTAAATGGGGTGTGAGTTCCCACCTGTCTCCAGGTATTTTTTTTTTGTGACCTCCTCTGAGTACCAGCCGTAAATTATATTCTAAAGAAACAGGGAAGGAAGCTGAAGTGGGAATCTGTGGAGACAACATCCTCAAAGATCCTCAATTACCTGCTATCTTTTAATCTTTGAGAATTGCCTCCATCCGATCTCAGCCTTGGGGAAATTATCAAACCTGGTAGTGTTTACAACTCGGCTTCAAGGTTAACAACGACACTCACCCCGTTCTCTCCTAACACCCCAATGTCACGTCAGGAGAGGGAAGCCACGGAAAGAGAAAACTAAAAGGTGGAAAATCCAGACCAATACAAGTTTTCTTTCCACACTCCAGGTAATTAAGCAGCTGATCTTGCTGTCAAGAAACTCTTTGAAGCCGAGAACTTGCAGTGTTCTGACAGGATGTTGGATATGAAGGAGAGTGGCAGGAGCAGACAGAACCATGGCATTGATTAGAAGGCAGGTTTGAAATATTAAAATCCAGTTTTGTTGTCAGGAATTTTTTGAAGGTTTTTAAACCCTCCACGACAATCAAGTTGCTTTTTCAATCTTATTTGTGTAATTTATTTTTAATAAGTGTGGAGATTAAATTTAGAGTGTAGGTAGAGTATGTAGGTTCCCACAGTGAACTTAGATCAGTGACAACTGACAGCCCAGGGGTGACAAACACATCAAAAGGAAGTTCATACAAACACCCCTAGAAAAATAATGCTCCTGCTTAAATAATAGACACCCTGGAGGGATTTAAAAGCCATGTGGCACTTGGGGACGTGGGTTAGGGGTGGCCTTGGCAGTGCTGGGGGAATGGCTGGACTCAATGATCTTAGAGGGCTTTTCCAACATAAGTGACTCCATGAGACTATGATATTAAATATCATCAACAGTCAGCTCTCCCTGTTTAAACAAGGTTTAAAGTACTTATTTCTTCTTTACCACTCATTCAAAAGCACCTGACAAATTACCTTTTAAATAAGTTCGTAGACCAAAAAATATAGAAATATATATCTCCCTGGCAACTTGTAAATGCAGGCACAGTCATGGATAATTTTAAGGGCAAGACAACCTCTGCTTCCTGACTTTATGCCCCGTTCTCTTCTTTCTTTCCTTAAAAGAAGGGCCCAGACCAAAAATTAAAAAAAGTTGACAATGCAGAAAAGTTGGCGCTGAACATTTTTTGCCATGTTTCCTTTTTCTTTTTTTTTTTAGATTTGTGTTGCCACACAACCAACTGCGAAGACGTAACACTAGAGAAATCATGAGATTTGAAGTTTTTCTAGGGAAGAAATTTCCTAGAGGAAAGAAAAGTCTTATTTCTTTGGGTGACCCCTTGGTTAAAAGCTTCTTCCAGGGAAGTTCATCAGCAAAACTTCTGAGGAAGATTTGCAGTGTCACATATTTTGAGTGGAAAATACAGTTGCCCACACAATACATCTTTATACATGAATTAATGTTAAATATCAATGTGAATTCATGTTAAATTTCATGTTAAATATCAGTTCTACAAAAGAGCTCTAAAGGAAATCTACTCTGGAAACATTCTGAATCGGGAGCAAAGCCAAAGTCTGTGTGTCTACAGTGCTCTCACAACCAAATCCAGATTTGGATCAAATCCATCAGCCACTTACCTCGTTCTCCTGCTGGTTTTCCTGGACCACACCACTTATTGGCATCAGAAAATATTCCTCAGTGTGTCCTTGACTTCCCAACCATGGCATTTGGGCAGGTGCTTACACAGAGATCATTCTCATTTTAGGGGAGATGGTGGAACTTTACTTTCCTCTGAGATTTGAGGGCTAAAGTTTTAGGGTTGCCATGGCTGAGAAACAGTTTTTTTGAAGAAAAAAAACAAACCAAACAACCAAAACCCAAACAACCAAAAAAAACAACAACAATAAAAACCCACCAAAAGAAAAAACAAACAAACAAAAAACAAACCACAAAACATACTCCACTTTCCACTTCTGATGTGCTTTATATTGCTTGGGTCAGTTTTTATTAATATTCTCCCCCCCCCCCCAATTTATTTTTCCCCTTCTGTGTTAAATAGATGTGATTTACTCAAAATCATGGTTTCTGTTTCTTCTGAGAATGAAGTGCACAGAACACTAATCTTCAAATCCTATTGAAAAACAAAAATATTTTTCAGTTTACCTACAAAACACTAGTTTAAAATCCTCTTTAAAGACTTTACCGTAACAGAAAATAAACACATCCAACCTGGCCTTGGACACTTCCAGAGATCCAGGGGCAGCCACAGCTTCTCTGGGCAACTTGGGTCAGGGCCTCACCACCCTCACAGCCAACAATTCCTTCCCAATATCCCATCTATCCCTGCCCTCTGGCAATGGGAAGCCATTCCCCCTTGTCCTGTCCCTCCAGGCCGTTGTCCCAAGTCCCTCTCCAGCTCTCTTGGAGCCCCTTTAGGCACTGGAAGGGGCTCTCAGGTCTCCCTGGAGCCTTCTCTGCTCCAGGTGAACCTGCCCAGCTCTCCCAGCCTGTCTTCATTGCAAAAGTGAGGAGAAAGACCCTTTTGTAGAGTAAGAGGAAATTGGAGGAGTTGCTCATCCTGCTGGGATTTAGCATAAATATAGATCAAATAAAAGAGGCACAATTCCAAAAAACCCTTAAGAACACCCCAGACGTTCTGATTCAGGTGTTGTTGTGACGAGATGCACAAAGCCTCATGACCTGAAAGTTTGGGAAAAAAAAAAATCAGCAATCCTGTGCCACAGGACAATGAAACCTTTGGGGTAAAGACGTTCCTCATACTTGGAGAATTCTCAGTCCTAAAGTGATAACCAAGGGCTGACTTGGGACACAAGGAACATTTTGAATTTGACACTGGGTGAAGAGGGAGGGATATTCCATCCACTAGTCCTGGTCAGTGGAAAATCCAACTGGGGCCCTTCATTGCAAGGACATTGAGAGGCTGAAGGGTGTCCAGGGAAGGGAACGGAGCTGGGGAAGGGTCTGGAGCACCAGGATTAGCTGAGGGAGCTGGGGGGGTCTCAGCCTGGAGAAAAGGAGGCTCAGGGGGGACCTTCTCACTCTCTGCAACTCCCTGACAGGAGGGGGGAGCCAGGGGTGTGTGTGTCTGGCTCTGCTCCCAGGGAACAAGGGACAGGAGAGGAAATGGCCTCAAGCTGTGCCAGGGGAGGTTTAGGTTGGATATTGGGAATATTTCTTCATGGAAAGAGCTGTCCAGCCCCGGCACAGCTGCCCAGGGCAGAGGGGGAGTCCCCATCCCTGGAAGTGCTCAAAAAAACATGTGAATGTTGCACTTGAGGACATGGTGGGGGTGCTGGGGAACAGTTGGACTTCATCTTAGAGATTTTTTCCAACCTTAACAGTTCTATGATTCCAACTGTAGGAACATCCCTAACTCCTCACAGACCACAGAAACTTTCAGGATTTTAATTCAGGTCTAAAAACTCCCAAGAAGTTCCAAGTCCAGGCTGAATTTTCTCTGTTTCTGCATTTAACAAATTAACAAGAAGCCACCAGCCTCAAAGACAAATTACCCATAAAAGGTCCTAAAAACCATCTCCAAACCACACCAGAGAGAAGGAATTTTTGAAATAAACCTGGGAGAAGACAGTAGTAATTATACACTCTTAGCTACTCATAGGAACACCAAACACACAGAAGTCCCAAACTGTTTACAAGTTTAATGACTTGCAAATCTCCACTTTTCAGTAAAAAGAACTTAATTTTTAAAGAAAAAATTATCAAAATTTCAGTATAGTAGTTCTAATACAGCTATAGTTTTTTTTAAAGAATATTTACAGAGCTCTAATGAAAAATAAAACTTAAGCATATGAAAATTCAAGCAGAAAATAGCTTCACCTGGCAGTAATTAGGCTTCCTGATTGCTGTACTAATTAATAGAAAAATTGGATAAATACTGGTCTAACAAGATGTATTTTTATGTTTGCAGCTTTGCACAAGCACCCCTGGTTCAGGAACCACCACACATAGACAAAGCTGTTAAAAAAACATGGTAAGAAACACATTTTATAAAGGAATGACTGAATTATCAAAATCTGAGCTTAAAATCTGAGTGCAAATCAATTCACATTGAAAAAAAAATCCCTGGAATTTGAATGACTGAATTGATTTAAAAAACTGGTTCTGGGACTCTTAAAACTATTTCCTTGTTCTTGTGCTGGATCTTGTCTTCCTGTCCATGACTCCAGAGGTCTGAGCTGCCCTCACATTCTCTTTCCCAAGTTCTTCCTTAGTTTTGTTCCTTTTTCCTTTTCCCAGCGATCCGGTTTCATCATTCCCTATTTATACACAAAAAAATTAACTGTAAATTTGTATCACCAACCAAACAATTCACATAAAATTTGATCTTCACTTTCACTGTTTTTAAGGGAAATGTCCCTACTGACAATATTCCAGAGATTACATCTCTGAATCCAACAAACCAGATACAAACCCCATTCTTCTGCACATCCAATATCCTTTAAGTTGCATCCCTGAGGATTTACAGCTATTTCTGAAAGTAGGTTAACATTAATGAGAGCACCAAAACCAATTAGCTTCCATTTGAGGTAAAATTCCTTCCACTGAAATGTAAAACTGAAACATCACCAACACCCAAGGAAAGTCCTGCAAACATGAAAATCTAAGTTTTATGGCAGGAAATTCCTCAATATGGAGCTCCAAAGAGTCGCTGTCATTTCTATTTCAAAATTTGTTTGATAATATTTGCATCGTGGTAGTTTTTAAGCTATATCACATTAAGCTGAAAATTCCAGGGAGTACTTTAGGTGGCCAAAAGGAGCAGGGAAGTGATTGTGTTGAGCTGGTGAGGCACCTCAAGTGCTTTGTCCAGGTTTGGTGCGTTCACAAGACATTGAGGGGCTGGAGCGTGTCCAGAGAAGGGAAGGGAGCTGGGGAAGAGTCTGGAGCACCAGGAGTGGCTGAGGGAGCTGGGATCTTTGAGGTCTTTTCCAACCTGAATGGCTCTGATTCAATGATCTACATCAGCCCACAGAGCTTTGCACATATTATTGCTGTATCTGCACATAACTTTGCCACCCTTAGAAAAGAGAAAGCAAATTCTCACTCACCTGATTTTAGTTTTTTGGGTGCCGAGTCATCTGCTGGCAGCTGACACTTCCTTCTGCGAGAAGTGGACGTTGCCTGTGGCACAGGGTTTCCCTCCTTTCCTTTTCCAGACTGATTCCTGCCCTCACAACCAGTGGATGTCACACACAAATTCTCAGTTTCCAGAGCATTTCCATTTTCAGGCAACTCACTGTTTTCATGGAGAGAAGTAGAAATAGCTGCCTCTGATGTGAATTGTACCTCCCTCCTGTTATTCCTCACTTGCCTTGTTCTTCCCCGGCACAAATTATTTTCTGGAGGTGTAGCTTCAGCTTCTTTAAGAATCCTCTTTTGCCCTCTACCTTTGGGCAGGTTAGGTTTTTCCCTGAGAGAAGTATAAGGAGTTTCTTCAGATGTGGAAGAAGTTGTTTTCTTTCTGCTCACTCTTGATAGATTTTCTTTTGCAGGTGGAGCTCCTTCTAAAAGTTTACTCTGCTGTTCCTCAGGAGCTCCATCCTTACCATCTTCTGGCAAACCTTGAAGTGAGGTGTAAATACCAGCCACTGAAGTGCTTGTTTGCCTCGAGTTCTCTTTTGAAAGACCCCTGTTTTCTTGGGAAGAATTCTCCAAACTCACTTTTTTTGCTTCCCTATAGTCATTCTTTCTACCACTTTGTTTTGATGGGACCTGTTCCCCCTGATTAGGGCTTGTGGCTTCTTTGAGGGCAATTTCTTTCCTCCTGCTTTTTCTCAGTTGATTTTCTTTTACAGATGAATCACCAGGTTTTAAGGGAATGTTTTGCTCTTTTTTGGGCATGTCTTCCCTACCATTATCCACTGGCAAACCACGTTTCCCTCTAAGAGGAATGGAATTTGTTGTGTGTGATGCCAGTGCAGTTTCTTTCCTTCTGCCTCTTCCTAATGGCTTCTCTTCTGCACAGGACACTGTTTCCAAAGGCACACTTTGTTCTTCATTAGCTCCCCCATCTTTAGCATCAGTCTCTGACAAGCCACATTTTCTCTGGAGAGGAGCTGAACTTTTTGCCTCTGCTGCAAGATCAATCTTCTTCCTTCTGTCCCTTGCTGATGCATTTGCTTTTACCTGAGAAGTTTTATTTCCCAAAGCTGGATTTTCATCTTCCCTCACAGTCATCTTTTTATCACCTCCTTCCAGCCACCCACGTCTCGTTCTGACAGAAGGAGATCTCGATGTCTGTGATGCCGCACTAACCTCTCGCCTTCTCCCTCGTCTCGGTGGATTGGCTTCTACTGAACAGGGAGCACCTTCCAGAACTGCATCTTGCTCCTTCACAAAAGCCTCATCTTCACTGTGATCTGCAGTTAATGTTTGTTTTTCCATAAAGGTAGGACTGGCTGTTTGTGGAATGGAATCAACTTGCTTTCTTCTGCCCCTCCTCACTCGTGAAGGATTTTCCAAATTCTCATGTTGACTGTTGTCAGTCATTCCTTCAGCATCCCCTGGTAAACTGCTTTTTATTTCAACCTCTTTGAAACTACTTTCTCCAAGTTCAAAATTAACTTTTTTACCTCTTCTAAACACTGCTCTGTTTCTTTGTGCTGGATTCTCCTGTAGGATTTCAGTTTGCTTTGCTTTAAGTATTCCCTGTTGGTTTCTTGCCCGTTTTTGATGGTCAGGAGCAAGACTGTCACTGTTTGCAGCAGGTACTGACATGGCAGCTGGGCTGTTCTGGTCCTCTGTAGCTTGGGATGTGTTCTTGACACAAACAGAGCCCAAAGAATCTTTGAGAGATTCATCCACTTCTGTGTCTGACCTCAACTTAGAAGGAATTAGTTTCAGGTTGCTCCCATCTTCGGTAAATTCCTCAGCCTTTTGCTCCAAAGAGTCTTTTTTGCCTCTCCTGCTCCTCGTCCTGTTTGTTTCCTGTGCTGCCCTTCTGTTTGCTTCCAAGTTCACAGCAGTGACTGGCAGTTTGTTTGTCTCCCAAGATGGTGACTCTGTCTTTAATCTTTGAGATGCCTCTGTTGTAATTTCCTGAGCATTTTCTGTTTCAGATCCCTGAGATACTTCCATCTCATTCTTGATGTGTAGTTGTGCTTCAGTTTGATTTGATGTTTCCTCAGTTTTCTGAATGTCCTGTGTGACCCCAAAAGTGTTTGCTTTTCCTTCAGCTGAGTGCTTTCTGTTTCTAGTACTTCTTAAAGACTTAACTCTTTTCTCTGTTACCTGTACTTCAAGTTCTGTTCCCTTTTCAGGTTCTTCTGCTGTGACAGCCTCAGAATCCTTGTCAAAAGTCCATTCATCTCTTTGTAGAACCTTTGCTGGTGGGTCTTTACGAAGCCTCCTTGTTGTTCCATGAAGTTCTGCTGAAGGATCTTGTTTAACTTGGTCATTTCTAGCCCTTCGTCCTCTTTTAGGTGGAATCGGTGGTTCTGTGTTTTCTACTCCTCTGGTCCTCTTCCTGGGTGACAGAAGCACTTCTCCACTGTCTTCTATACCACTGTCATTAGATTTGCTATCAAGTTCATTTACACCTGTTTGCAGCTGACAATTTTCCTTCTGAATGTCACCAGGTCCTGTCTTTTTGGTTGGATCATCTCCAGTTTCTAACATGTCATCGACACCACACTCCTGCAAGGGCTGTTTCATATTTGCAGGCTCTTCTGGTAGCACTGAAGAACCTTCAACACCAGACTCAAGAGTCTCACTTGGATGTTTCAACTCCTTCAGTTCTCTCCTTTTACCTCTTCCTGGTCTTTGAGTAGCTCCATGTGGTTCCTGATCAGGGTGCTTCGAAACAACCTCTTGTAGGCAACGCTTTGTTCTCCTTCCTCTTCCTTTGTTTTCAGGTGTGATTGCTCTCATCTCCTCTTGGGTGCTGGAGGTATCCAGACTTTGCAATTCTTTTAAATTCACATCCTTTTCACTCTGCTTTGCTGCAGCATGATGAACAGTCTTCCTTGGCCTGCCCCTTCTTGGTCTCTGGGGAGACTGATCCGCACTAGTTGATTCCTTTTGTGGAGTATTTTCACCTTGGGGAATATTTCCTTTATTTTCTAGAACAGGGTAAAGAGCACAAAGAAAAGTTAGACATTACTATGCCTGATCAAAGTATCTGTGAGTTTCCATTTTCCTAACAGTCACCTTTCTCAAACAAATCACACAATATCTTAATTTAAAAATAAATAAATATTTTAACCAATTACTACATGAAAAGACCAGACTTCTGATCAAAGTTCTTTGGTTTATTTGGTAGGTATCATTCATCACTTTCAACTATGCTCTTGAAAGTCTTTGCAAAGATAATCTGAAGTGGAAACCTTAACGTCAGGTTTTTCACACTAATATGTTCACCTGTCTTCAAGGGAAAAAGGGATCTTAGCTCAGGAATTAGCAGAGCTCACTGAGAGCTTTAAACAAGATTTGAACTTCATGGTAACATGTATTACTTTTTACGTTCATTATTCTTCTAAACAAAGTGTACTCACCATGTTTATGACTGGAATTAGAACAAGGAGGTGCAGAATCTTGCTGAGAATCCATTACTGATCTGACCTAAGGGAATAAACAATAATCAATAATCAATAAATGCCTGTCTGACAGGACAGGAAATTATAGAGCCAACCAATACAAAATGTATAGTAATACTTGTAAAAATTCTTGGCAAATTCTTTTCCCTAAAAATGAAATCAACTAATTTTATAACTCCATCCATACATCTGACAAAAGCACACAAATATAGCAAACAATTCTTGCCATCTAAAGTGGTGTAGCAGTTTTTAAAGTGAAAGGCAACAAACACTGCAGAGTTAAAAAGTAACATTAACTCTATTGGTTGACAAGTGTCTAAATGAGTGCTCAAAGGGAATTGGGGTATTGAAGAAAAATTGAGTGTCTTGCAGTGTTTTATTGTAGTTCTAAGCACTAAGCCCAGTGATACTCAACATTTTATCTACAGAACATGAAAATCAGCACCAATAAAATTCACAAACGACACAAGTGATGAAGCTGTGAATTGTAAGGTCAGAACGGTCACTCAGAGCAACCTCAGGAGCTACTTACACAGGGCCCCCTCAAAGAAAATACATATTAACACAGGCAAAGGCAGCTGTCTATAAAATGCTCCAAGATACGTGAAGTCATACTAGGAGGCCTAAGAATTCATTTCAACCACAGGCTTTGAAGTCTAAACACATCCCTTCCAAAAGGTAAGGAAAGAATTTTACCTCCATTTCCTCTGGTATATCAAACATTTCTGTCATTCCAGCATAGTCCACTTCACCATCAGAACGTTTCTGCCTGGGCTCTGCCATGAGCCTTTGCAGCCCCACAAAATCCTCAACTGGTTGATTCTTCTGTCTGGGAGACTTCACCAATCTGCTGATACCAAACATGTTTTCTATGGGTTGAACTTTTTCCTTCGGTGTCTTGAAAATGCGGCTGATCCCAACCATGTCTTCAACTGGTGAGTATTTCTGTTTTGGGGTCTTCAGCAACCTTTTAAGGGCAATTTCATCTGTAACTGGTTCTGGCTCTTGCTGTGGGGTCCTCATGAGCTGCCTAATGCCAGACAGGTCCTCCACTGGTTCTGGCTTCCGCCGCGGGGTCCTCAGCAGCTGCTTGATGCCTGACAAAGCCTCTGCAGGCTCCAATTCCTGCTTCGGGGTCCTCATGAGCCGTCTGATACCTGACAAAGCCTCTACAGGCTCCAATTCTTGCTTCGGGGTCCTCATGAGCCGCCTGATGCCTGACAAAGCCTCTGCAGGCTCTGTGTTCTGCTTTGGGGTCTTCAAGAGCTGCTTGATGCCAGAAAAGAACTCTACTGTCTCTGACCCTTGCTCTGGGGTCCTTAAAATCTCCTTGATGCCTGACGTGACCTCAACTGGCTCCAACTTCTGCTTTGGAGTCCTTCTTTTCCTTCCTGATTTCACCAGAGATGCTTGTCTTTCTGGAATGATTGATAAACTATCCACATTAATATTATCTTCTTGCACAGATTTTCTTTTTTCAGGAGTTTTTGTGGATATTTCATCAAACACAGAGCTTAGAGATGACTTCTCTCTCAGCAACTGACAAATGCCTGGACTCTCTTGTTTCTGTTCTGAAGCATCTGAACTATTTAAGGGTGACACCATCATCTCTCCTGAAATAAGTAGTAGATTTATGTAATAAACAATAGTTTGACAGTTAAATTTCATACCAATAGAATGAATAAGAAAATCACCTACACAGAAATTAACTGGAACAACAAAATTTTCTTTTGATACATGATTAATATTAATGGTTTGTTTTATGGTTATGGATGCTTCATCTCTGTAAGGTGATAGATAAGGTCACACAAAAAAGGCTTCTGATGGCTTCCTGGAAAAACCCTGCATCTGGGGAGACATTCCCAGAAACTGATAAAAGTATTAAAATGAAGAAAGGAGTGATATGGAGATAACACTGGTCTTTTTTTGCAAACTTCCTATCTGCCAGGAATTCGGGAAGTGGACCTTTGGGCCTATTCCATCTATCACCCCAAAAATTAGTTTATTGACTACAGACACTCAAACTTCCTAAAGAAAAAGGTATAAAGAGAGATTGGACATAAGGAAAAATTGGGGAGAAGTTCCATCAATGCTGTGGAGATAATCGAAGGGCTACCTTTTCTCCCTCCACCTTCTCAGGATGCCGTGGGGTGAGCGATTGCTTCACACCTATCCACTACTACTTTTGCTCCATATTACTTCAACATTTTTATTTACTACTTTGCTGTAAGTTGCTCTTGCTTTAGCATGTGTGCCTATGCTTTGTATTATTATTATTACTACACAGTTCAAATGTGCTTTTTTTGGCAGTTAGAGCCTATTCCAGATACAGCAAACCCCAGACACTGTCACGAACTTGTATTAATAAACATGTCACTTCGTGAACTGTTTGAGTGAGTCCATTTTTAGGTGCTGACAGTTTTGCCGACGCTGAAATAATTCATAGGAGAAACCTGAGGGGTTTTCCTACTGCTGTTCTGTGCAGTCCTTTTATAAATAGGTATCAAATGTCCTGCCTGTCTCAGTGAATCTGTTAAGCGAAGGGTCTCATTAGGTGAGAGGCTAACAGACTGCTTTGGACATTAAAAAGCTTTGATCTCCTAGGGGATGCTGACAGCCAAAAAAATAAATTAATACAGGTCGGACAGAAAATTCATCTTTTCTGCCCCTTTTCAAGTGACAATCTCAATACTTTAAGTCTGCCCAGGTTGAGACCACAGCTACCACACATTACACCCTAATTATCCCTTTTGTTAGATTACAAACATACCAGATTCTTCAGGGGTGTGCAAGTCAGAAATGTCCCCTGCAGCACAGGTTGGTGTAAAATCAGCACTCTGAGCAGCAGCCAAAGGTAATGTTTTCTCACTCTTATTTTCCGGAGTTTGAAACATTTCAGGCACTCCTAGAAATTGTATTTGGAGAAGTAAGCACATGTTTTGACACAAGAACTACGCACGTGGCAGTGAGCAGCAGACTAAAACCTCACCTGTGAAGCTTTCATCCATATTCATGTTGAGCTTCAGGATGGGATTTTTTACCACTTTAGGGACCCGTCCAGTTGATCTGAGCGTGGTGGAGTAAGCTCTACCTACAACTATTGTAGCAGGTGACTCAGCATGACCTGTGCTGAAGTGACCTTTTATTTTCCTCTCTGTAGTCTGCAGAGGCAATAGGAAACAGAAAATTAAGAGTTATTAAATAAAGATTCTGCTTGGTGGAAGAGGTGGCCAAACCACTCTCCATCACTCATCATCAGTCCTGGTTAACCAGGGAGGTCCCACATGACTGGAGGTTGTCCAGTGCCAGCTACAAGGGTTGGAAGGAGGACACAGGGAACTACAGACCTATCAGCCTGATCCTGGAGTTCAGGATGGTTCTAGAACAGATCAACTTCAGTGTGACCACATGGCACGCACTGGACTACCAAGGAGCAGGCTCAGCCAGCTGGGGCTTAGAAAAAGAAGGTCCTGCCTGACCAACCTGACCTTTTATGACCAGGTGACCTGGCCAGTAGATGAAGGGGAGGCTGTGGATTTATCTACCTGGATCTCAGTGAAGTCTTTGACACCATCTCCCATAGCATTCCCCTGGAAAAATTGCATCCCATGGCTTGGACAGGTGTGCTCTTTATTGGGTTAAGAACTGGTAGAACAGCTGGGCCCAGAGTGGGGAATGGTGCCATCTCCAGTTGGTGGCTGGTCACTAATGGGGTTCCCCAAGAATCAGTTTTGGGTACAATCCTGTTCAAGGTCTTTACTGAAGATGGAGGGCACCCTCAATCAACCCATGGGTGACACTGAGTTGGGCAGGAGGGTTGATCCGCAGGGGAATCTGGAAAGGCTGGATCCATGGGCTGACGGAACTGCAGGAGGTTCTCAATAAGACCAAGTGCCAGGTCCTGCCCTGAGTTGCAACAGCACCATGTAGTACTCCAGGCTAAAGGGAAGAGTGATTGGAAAGCTGCCCAGTGGCAAAGGGTGCTGGTGACCACGGCTGACCACGAGCCCAGGTGTGCCCAGGTGGACAAGGCGGACAGTGGCACCTGGGCTGGATCTCAAGTGGTGTGGCAGCAGGAGCAGGGCAGTGACTGCCCCTGTGCTGGCACTGCTGGGCCCCTCGAGTGCCGTGTCCAGTTCTGGGTCCCTCAGTTCAGGAAGGACATTGAGGGGCTGGAGAGTGTCCAGTGAAGAGAACAAACCTGGGAAAGGGTCTGGAGCATCAGGACCAGCTGAAGGAGCTGAGGAGGCTCAGTCAGGAGAAAAGAAGGCTCAGGGAGGATGTTATTGCTGAAATATTTGACTCAGTGATCCCAGAGGTCTTTTCCAACCTTAACGATTCTATGATTCCTTTTAAACAAAACCTACATTCCTTACATACCATGACAAAGGCATCAACACCCATCAACATCCCAGCAAGAGCTCAGAAGCCTCCAGCTTCTGTAGCAAAATATATCCAAGCTGTTTGGTAGCCGTGCAAGGAAACAAAGTGAGCATGAAAAAGGAAAAGAATACCTTTGGTGGCTGTTTTATCCTCTTTAGGGATCTTCCTCTTTGGACACTTTTCTTAGAAGTCTTTGACTGTGGTCTTGCAACACCCAATTTTACCACTTCTGCCCAAGATTTTGCAACTAGAAAGTAAGGGAGAAATAACCACTTTAACTCTCAGCTTTTTAAAAGGAAGTTCACAATTATTTCTTTATGATTCCAATTGATTTTATGATTTTCCAATGCAGTCAAGCACAGGAAAGTGGTTGTTGTATCATCTGACAACACCAAAAGCGCTCTCTGAAGCACTTCCAGTTGGAAAACCTCAATTTAACAAGTGGCCAAGTTTCCTCAGGATGACTTTCCACAACAAAACAATGAGCTCCACACAGTATCAAAGAGATGTGAGATCCTGGAACCAAACACTGACCCAGTTCCATACTCACTCTTTTTGCAAGGAGAGAATTTTTCCCAAAAAAACTTGCCATGAGCCTTTCAGACTCATTCGTTATCCATGAGCTTTCCTCTGGTGAGATTTAACATCAGAGAAATGATTTAGAAGTAGAGCATATCCAGCTTGTCTTTCACCACCTTTCTGAGGAATTTCATGGGCAGAAAACTCTATTTATACTGCTTAAAGCATTTAGATCTACACAGTTTTCATAATTTCTCTTGTATCACCTTCTCCTTATGACACATTCCAAAAATTCCCAGAGCAAGGTTACCTTTATCCCAGCATGATTCTGTACACAACAGAGGGATCAGGGAATTAGTTATAGTTGTGTAATAAATGAAGCTGGAAGTTTGTAGGATATCTGCCTCTTTTAATTCAGAAAAAAAGCTGGGAGAAGACAGAGATCATACAAAAGAAATCAGTTATTTAAGTAGAAATAAAATGGGAATGCTGTTCCTAAATAAAAGGATATTAGTATTGACCTGTTAGAATTGCTGTGTAAGTTTGTAAATGAAAAGAACTTTGAAAAGCTGTCATTGCAAAGGTGTTCTGGATGCAGAGAAAAATACCCAGCACCCAGGAAATTATCTGAAAAAGCACTGGAAACTAACCTTGCAAAAAGGATGTTAATTTTACCATTTTTCAACTTCTGAACGTTAAGGTTTGTGTTCTAAACATGAGTTAATAGATGTTTTAGTAAGTTTGCTTTATGAATACAAGAAAATGCAACATTTTGCACTTCCCAGTTGCTTCCAACAAGCCCAACACAGTTGTCAGAAGACACATCAACCTCTTGGTGGCCTCTGCATAACAAAACAAGCCTACCTCAGTTTTGTTTCTGTATTTTAAAGCATTAAAATAGATATTTCAAAGCAGCTGCTGAAACAAACCCAATAAATTAGCACAGGAGGCACCACTTCTTCTCTTTGCATGGAGAACTCCCACAGCCCCGCTCCTTCTCTTCGTGGAAGTGCCCTTCAAATCCACTTGGGCACTTCTGGTTACTTTGGCAGGTGTAGCTGATGCAAAGGTTTTGTCATCTTGGTTAATGAGGGAAGACTGAGGTGTTTTCACTCTCACACCACTTTTCTCCTTTGCATTCAGGTCCTGTGCACCAGAATCCTTCTCCTCTGGGATTGGGAGTGGTGCCGGGAGCTGGGAAATGGAGAAACGCCCTTTTCTGTAAGGGGCTGGAGAGCCTGAAGGAACTTGAGGTGCTGCCTTCCCTGAGGAAGGGGAGGAGGCAGCTGGGGACTTCTGGGCTGGCAAACTTCTTTGTGACATTTGTTCTTCCTGGTAAAAAAAAAAAACAAACAAAAAAAACAAACCAAAACCAACAACAAAGAATTAGCACATGGTGGATTTTGGGATTTTTTTTCTTCTTTTTTAATGCAGTAGTTTTTCAGCACATCTCCACTGAATATCAAGTTGTCTACTGAAGGACTGCTTACCCTTCTCATAGAAGCAACCAGGGCCAGAATGAACCAAATTGGACACAGATATCAACAAGCTCAACCCACTGAGGGTTGAAACTCTCACTTCTTTCATCTGTAACAATCTCTGTGGTAACTCATAACTGCACTTAAACCCAAATATGCATCCCACTGAAACCAAGTATGGAAAGGGAAGGAGTGTAAGGTACCCACAACTGTAACAATGTGTACTGGCACAACAAAAACTAACTTAACCCTCACAGTACCTCCCACTACCTCCCAGGCTCCTGATAGGACTGGTGAAAGCTCCTCTCCACAGATTTCTAAGACTGAATCCTATGCCATCAAATCCACAGAAACAAGTGCTATTTAATCCTTAGTGGTCCCTCAAACCACTGGAATTATCAATGCAGAATAATAATTGAACCTGCTTGGTCAGCATTCCTGTCTCCATCCTCTGACGAGTCCTATGGAGGGACCCTCAGCTCTCCAAAAGGTTCAGGGAGAGATGGGACTGGTATCCTGGGGACTGGATCAGGAGGATTAAGTAGCATGGATATCCCATTAGTTAGGCCTTTTTATTCTTACCCTTTCCCATCCTTTTACCCTTTTTCCATGCCCGGCCTCCTCTTGGATCCTTTTACATAGATTTCAGTTTCAGATTGATTGATTTTAATCTGATTTTTCTCTGTGTGCTGTAACCATCCAGTAAATTGCAAAGTGACCTTGCCCATGAACTTTGTTGCACTTTCAGTTCATAATAAACCTGCTTTTGCCAATGCCTTTGCTGGTGATTCTTTGAGTATCCTAAAACACTCACTTGTGACACCAACATACATCAAACAAGGTTTGATACTAATTTTGAAATAATTATAATAAATAATAGAATTTAAAAAAATTAGAATTGATAAGTTCTGTTAACAGTAATGGTCTTAGCAACTTGAGTAGTCTTAAAGTTTACCTGGTCTGTGAAGAGCTTCAATCCCTGAGCCTTTTTCAGCACAGCACGAGGTGAGGTTCCATAGGGCAAGCTCAGCCTGGCAGGAAGAGCTCCTCTTTTAAGGGGAGAGTTGGGAGGTAAACTTTTATCAAAAAGTTCTGGACTCAGATGGCCACCAAAAGACACTCTCTTTCTTTTTCCTGAAGTCTGAAGGAGCAAATCATCACTTTTCCTCTTCTGAGACAACCTTTTTGTCTTGCCTGAAAAGTACAATTGAAAATATTTCTATGTATTTAAGAATCCAAGTCAACACTTTAACCCACAGGGAAAACAGTGTTTCCTTGTGCATGTTGAAGCTGGAAACGAACCAGATGGGAACTTACCTTAAAGAGAAATAGATTTAATGCAGGAAACTTTAATTATATTACCGAGTGTTATTATGATCAAATATAACTACATATTTTAGAACTAATGTCAGCAATTGGTTCTATATTTTATGTAAGTGTTAAAATTCTCAGAAAGGTGTTTTAAGAATTTCTCAATATAAAAACAAGACAGTGGATGAAATGTATTTACCCGAGTCTTCTCCACCCAACAGGCCAGAAGTATTTTTTTCTGGGACAGCCTTGTTTTCTTCCAGCATAGGAGCACTTCCAGAACCTCTCTTTGCTGACAGCCCACGTGGTCTAATATCACCAGCATCTTTCAAGTCTTGTTTCTGGTGATGCCCCTCCATGGCCAGGTCTGCTGGAGTTCCACTCTCTTTTCTGTCTCTAGTCTTACCAGGATGTTCTTGCACAGTGTTTGTCTCCAGTGCTGTTTCAGTCAGCATTCCAGAGCTCCTTGGCCTTTCCCTTTTCCTCTCAGAGCTCCTTGGCCTTCCCCTTTTCCTCCCAGATCCAGGTGTCTGACCAGCAGGAGATGCCATTAACTCTTCCAAAGCCAGTGTCTCTGTATGGACACTTTTGTCTAATTCTTTACTTTGCCTGCTGTTTCTTCTGGGACTCTTGGAACTGGAGAAAGCAGCAGGACTTTCAGAAAGTCCCACCTCTGAGTTAAAGTTTGCCTGATCACTGATTTCCTTCAGCACTTCTTGTGCAGGTGTTCCTGATGGGCGTCCCTTGCTATTTTGTCTTTGTTTCATGGATTTGTTTTCTGGGAAAGGCAGTTGAGTGATGTCTGAACCTTCCCTTGGAGTTTCAGCTGGAATTTCTGACAGACGCTTGGGTTTCAGTGACACACGCCGGCGGGTGGTTGGAGTATCAGCATTCACAGGATTCATTCCAGTGATTTCCTTGGAAGGAGACCGAGGGCTCTTCCTCCTGGGCCTTGGTGTGGACAGTACATGTTTATCTGCTTCAGAAACCTTTGGGGTGTGAGTTGTAGAGATGTGTATTTTCTCCCTAACTGAAGAATCCAAGCGTTCTATGGAGCACTGCTGCAGTGCAAACAGGGAATTCTCACCATTCTCCTTGCTGGGAGTAACCTTGGCACCTTTAGATGTGACTGGTGTACTCAGTTCCTCAGGGTTTTGCAAGCGACTCTGACTGGTATCTCTCAACACCTCCTGCAAAAAAGAATTTTGAAGACTTCTGGGAAAACTCCTCCTGGGAAAACTCCTCCTGGGTGCACTTCCTCCAGCTGCCAGCTGCTGAAACCCTGAGGGGTTCACTTCACTTCTTACAATTACACATTCTTCCATATTTCCACTTCTGCCTCTTTCTTTTCCTTTATTCAGGCTGCCCAGATCACAATCTGGGGATGAAATCTGAGCACTTGGCTCTGGCACAACACTCTCCCCACCTTCTCTTGCAGCTTGTTGGGAGTCATTTCCCTTTTGCACAGATTCTTTCATTTGTATCTCACGTTTCAGCTTTTCATAGAGATTAGTAAAGGGAGACATCTCATTTTGTTTTTTAATAACTTGGTGTATTCTGTGTGAAGGTTTGGGTGTTTTTGGTTTGACAGGTAAAGCTTTGGATACATTTTCCTCTGTGGTTTGTTTATTTTCATTGACAATTTTTTCTTCACATTCAGCATTATCTATAAAGGAAGCAAAGCAAAACAAAAAGTAATACAGAAAGTGACTTAAAAATTGCAGAACTACAAATATAAGTTCCATAAATACAGATTAAAAATTCCTTCCATTCCTCTCCCAAGGCAGTCAACAAGGGTCCACTGAAATGGAACACTTGGAAACAGCCTGGGCTTTTAAAACTGGAATATTTGTCATAAAAATCAAACCCGTCTGTAGATAAAAAGCCTTCCCCCAAAAACTTTGTATCTAAACAATTACTTCAATATGTATCTCCAAAATTATACTTATTTCAGTGTCTTATTAGGAAAGAATACTTGCTGAAAAGTGATCTAGCAGAGAACTGCAAGGTAAATTTTAATCAAAAAGGTGAATTTGCCACATATTAAGCGTTTGCTGCCTCTGCAAAGTAAAACGTAACAAGCAATTGTTTCCAATACCAGTTTCAACTCACATTTGTATTGCACTTGCAAAGCTGGTGAACTGACCTTCCTTTCCAAACTGAATGTGCACAAATCACTGAAAGTAATATCTGTGAATTTTGCCTATGCCAGGCTGTTCCTGCCAATTTGTTGGGATGCAATCAAGTGATTTCTCCTGGCAGGATGTAGATTTGGGAAATCAGAGCATGTAGGTATAATGACACACCACAGCAAAGTGGTGTCAGATTCAAGAGTCTTAAAATGCCCTTTTTTCCTCTTTTGAATCTTGTTTTCCTTCTTATGCTAAGAATGAATGCAGTTAAGGGGACACAAGAAAACAAAACCCATAAACCAGTTACCAACCTGAAGCACCAAGACTTTTAGATCCTGAAGTTTGTTTGTGTAATAATTCCACTTCTGCCACCTGCTGAACATGAAGAACCTGTAAATTTGTACAATATTACAGCCCAGTAACAAGTATTTTACAGTTCAGCTTTTAACTGTACATTGAAAAACATTTTATAGAAGTATACACATTGTTTACTAAACAGGTTTAAAAGTATTCAAATGAAATCCCAGAATATTTCAATATTTAAGAACATTGACCAATACTTTTGAGGCCCCAGAGCAGAAATTTGTCTTGTTTTAGTATTGTTAGCTCTAAAAGCAGCTGTAGCATAAGAATATAAACCAGCAGATTTCAATCTCCCCTTCATAACAGACTTAGTGGAAGATTTATAGCTCTGCTTGCATTAGTAACATCATAGATTATTAGTTATCTATTAGCAAAAACTGACAAGCCTAAAATCACTAAATTTTTTAAAGCACTTATCTGAAGGAGTTTATTTGTATTTTCAGATAGAAAGGTAGTTTAGGGCTGAAAAGTTACTCCTAATAAGAAAATAGAACAAAGAAATAAAATATTGCATCACTACTAACACCAATGTACTTGTAACAAAAAAGCCCACGGCCACAAAATTACCTGCAGAGTTTCATCTTTGGGAGACCTGGAACACCTCTTCTTTGGAGTTGACTGGAGTGGATATTCAAATCTGAAAGAAATATTTTAAAATACACCCATTTTTTGTCAAAGAGTTGATGACTAAATTCCCATTACTAAGATAAAAGATCGAGAAATAGTTTTCCCCTCCCAACAATACACAAGTCACTTTTAAAGGCTTTAACAACTTAAAAATACTGCTAAATTTATCCCTAAAACTGACTACACTGGAAACAAAGTCAAAACAATCTCTGAAGACAGTTTTATCTTTATTGATTTAGCTTAACATAAGTGATTAAAAACCCCAGAATCTTCAAGCAATCTTGTCTTCTGACAAAGACTTGGTAAAGAAATATAAAATGAACTACATTAAGTTACATTCTTGGACTAAGTAATAAACAAGTAAAGAAATATGAAATCAAGTGTAAAGAAACAGGAAATAAATAAACTACATGAAGTGACATTCTTGGACCAACAAATGAACAGTTTGGCACTGGCACCCACCTGAAAGAACGATCGATAATAGTCAAGACATCCCCGTGCTTCAGAGGAACAGGCTGCTCAAAGCAAACCCCATTCAGCTGTGTGGGGTTTACTGCGCTCAAATTAGTCAGTACTGCCTGAAAATAGAACAAATATTTCAGTGGCCTGCTGAGATGCAACAAGGCAATGCTCATTCCAGGAAAACATGCAGATCTTACCTCCTTGTTCTCATTTATTTCGATTTTACAGTGCTCGTTGGAGACCCAGGGCAGTCGCATGCGGATGTCACACTCTGTTTTCCTGGGGGGAAATACAGTTTGACTTTCACACGAGACACAGAAAAATCTGCTCTAGAATTACGGGATTTCCCAATGTTTTAGTTAATAATTGTACAGAAGCACGATTTCTAAAACTGGAAGAAAATTAACTACCTCAAATCTTCGAAGTGTGGCAAAAAATAGCAGCTCACACTTCAGAGAATCTGTGTCAGAAACAATATGTGAAATATCCAAACTCTCCATAAGTGGATCACAACAAGCAGAGACACAACTACAACAGCAGCTGGTGGTTTGAGATTGTTTCTCAAGTTTCCCTAAGACTTGTGGAATATTTCTATACAATATCAGCACATGCTTTTAAGCTCTGTCTTAGCCCTTTGTTACTGACCTGAGAACAGATAGTTGGACCTTTGGCCTCACCTGGATAAGCACTTTTACCTTCTTAAAAGTTGTGAGGGAAGGAAAACATGTTTCTAAGTGTACAGACTTTCTTTGTCTTTCCTTTTTTTAAGATAACCTCTATTGCTTTTGATGCATTGTAGGTCTTAGGCAGGAAACATAAACACCTACTGTGCACAATACCTGGTGAAATTAGTGTACCTGGGGAAATTTGTACCTGAAATTAGTGTTTGCACCATTAATTATCATCTGTCCGGGCAGCTCATTGACACTGCAGTGTTTCTCACAGACTTTCACCGTGGGATGTGATTCTGGACTGAATAATTACAATTATAATCAGTCAGTAAAGCACTGAACAGGCCTAGTTTAGATAAATAAAAATATTTTACTTGCAGTCTATTTATAGTAAGATCATAATATAGTCAAGTCTTCATACATCCTATTTGGGTACATTAATTTTATCTTTCAATGTAAAAGGTGGATCAAGCTCAAAACCCACTATCACTCAAGTGAGTATATCAAAGTTAGTTTCAAGACTGGAGAAGGAGGTATAAATTCTTAATACTAATTCTAGTTTTGGTTGACATCTTCCATTAGTGAGGTTCTGAGGTACAAAAAAGTAAATAAAGATTTATTTTCACTTGTCAGTTATCTGGAAACTGCCTCTAGGTAAGACAATCTCAAAAATTGTGGATTATTTTTAATCCCTTCCTCAGATATCCTTTGGCCAGAAACTTAAAATAAATAAATAGATAGGTAGATAGATGACAGATAAAAGTAGTTCTGGCAAGGAAAGGACAAAAAGCAATAACAAATAGAGAAGTTCAACTTTCTGGATCACCTTCCCTCCCTCTCCTGTGCATCATTCACGAATAAACATTTATTTTTGCAAATAAGTATTAAAAGATCTAATCTGCAGGAAAACATCACTCATTATTTCGATGTGTGCAAGTGCTCAACAAATTCTCACCTTCCGAATAAACAAGAAGCCGAGGTGAGTGGAAAAACAATTCCATCAGTCCCATTCCTTTTAATGACAATAATTTTCCCGTAGCGCGGCATCTTGGAATGTAGGGAACCTTACCTGGAAAAGAACATCCAGATTATTCATCCCAATAATGTTTTATGAGAGTAACATTTTTATACGTTACTTTTGTTCAACAAACTCCAATGGACAGAAGAACCTCAGTGCTGTTTCCATGTGTCTCTGGGTGTAGAAAACTGGGAATACGTTTATGTAAAGTCAGACTATTTTACTTATTTAAGAAGTATTTGCTACCCACCAGAGCCTTTGAAGCAGAAGGAAAAGAAACGGATTTTAACTGATTTAAACCCATTTGCACAACCAGATACACTTTTTATATACTTTCATGTAACCTGCGTTATTTCACGTATAGATACGAGAGTGTCACGAAGCACAAGCGATCCTCAAAGGAGCCTGTATAAAAATACTCTATATTGAAAGCAGCAAGGGAATTAAAAGCATTTAAGAGAAACCCTTCTGGAATTTTTTGCTCGAATAAAACACTTGTTGACAGCAAGCCCCAGGTTGGGGAGAGCCTGACAGTGCCCTCAGGAGTCCCCTTTGCCTGTGCCTTGCGGGGAACGACAATATTGGCTGTCCTGCACTCAGAGCACCCTGTTCACAGCACTCACCGATTCCTACAGGCCAAAAAACCCACATGGGCTGCACAAGCCAAAATTTACAAACCCGGGCTCCGGGCGGCCACAGCCACCGGCGGGGGGCACATGAACACCGAGGAAGGGGTGAGTAAACCCCCAGGAGGGGTCAAAAGCCATCATGGTGAGGTAAGCAGCCACCGAGCAGGGAGTGTCATGCGGGCCGACCCCTCCCCGCGGCCCCCCTCCCCAAAGCCGGTCTCCCCCCGGTCCCTCACCCTCTGGCCCAGCCGTACCTGGTTCGCTCGGAGCGCTGGCGGCCGCTGAGGGCCCCGTGTGGCGGAGCCTCCCCCTCCCCCCTCTCCCCTCACGGCGCGGCCCCGACTGAGCCCTTCCCGCGCACGCACCAGCCCTGTGCCCTCGCACCCCCCCGCCGTATTTTCTCGGTGTATCCCTCCGCCGCGCACCAAAACAGAGCCCCCCGGAACCGCGCAGGCGGACCGAAGCGAGAGCCGCCGCCGCCGCTCTCACCTGCCGGCAGCCGCCGTGGCTGAGGGACCGCCCCGAGCCCGCCCGTCCGCGACAGGCGGCACCGGGCCCCCGGACTCTTTTAGCTTTGCCCGGTGCCCGATGGGCGGAAGGAGAAACGAACCCAGCTGATGACGGTTGAGATTTTGAAAAGGAGCGCGGTGGCCCCTGATTGGTGGAAGGGGCGGCGCGCGACGCGCGGTCGAACCAATGGGGGGCGGAGGAGGCGGTTTGAGTTCAAACGGAGGCTCCGCCCCCCGGGAACCGCTCCCGCCTCAGGGCGGGGGAAGCAGCGCTGAGGGGCCCCCGGGGCATCCTCACGGGGGGCAGAGCTGAACCTGAACCTGTACATAAACCTGCACTTGTCCCTGAGCCTGTACCTGTTCACGGGCCTCCACATTTGTACCTGTGCCTGAACCTCAGTCTGTACCTATTCGCGAACCTGTTCTTCTACCTGTGCCTGTACGCGAACATAAAGCTGTACTTGAACCTGAACCTGGGCTTGCCTCTGTGCCTCTACATGAACCTGTACCCATATTAGTACCTGTATCTATGCCTGTACATGAACCTGTGCCTCTCCCTGTACCTAAACCTGTACCTGTACCTTTACCTGTACTTGAACTTGTAACTGAAACATGTTCCTCTACCTGAACCTGTACCTATATCAGTGCCTGAACCTGTATCTGAACCTGCACCTTTGCCTGTGCCTATACCTGTAACTGAAACTGTGCTCACACACATACCTGTACCTGTACCCATGCCTGAACCTGAGCCTGTGCCTATACCCTCCCTGCTACCTGAACCTGTACCCGAATCTGTATCAGAATCTGTATGTGCATCTCTACTTGTATCTGTTCCTGAACCTGACTCTGAACCTAAGCCTAAACTTGTATTTGTATGTTTACCTGTAGCTGAACTTCTGCCCACACCTGAACCTAAACCTGTATCTGAACCTGTGCCCGTACCTCTACCTGTGCCCATGCTTGAATCTGTAATAACAATAATAAAAACAACAACAACAAAAAAAATAATAAAACTACACATTATTGAGATATGGAATCTAGTGACCTTAATTCCAATTTAAAGTTCTGTGCATGCGTGAGGGAAAGTGATACGGGGGGAGAAAGGTCATCCAGCCTTTTGTGCTTCAGGGGGTAAAATTCCTCTACCCAGTTTTTCCCAAAGAAGAACTCTTGATATTACTACTATTTTATTTCATTATCTAGCTTGCCTCAAAGACTAGTTTATGTGGTGTGATGGCTTTAGGGTACTTTGGATATGACACAGATAGAAGAAACCTTTTAAATGTTATTTCTTTTCAATTAAATTACTTGGAAGTCTATTTTATAAGCTTAGGTGGGATTTTAATTTACTTCAGCATATCAAGTCAGGAAATAATAATAATAACAATAACAATTTACTATTATTTCAGCTTTCCACTATAGCTTTATTCTACTGGACAACGTTTAATTTAGATATAAAACATTCAAAAATCAGGATTCTATTGGATAACTAATTGGGTATAATTGCTAATACAGAGTTATTAAAGTAAGATCCTTCCTGGGGGTCTCTACAAGAGCAGTTATTCCTGAATGCTGTATCTAAACCAAACAGTTTATACCAGTAAAACTCTTTGAAAGCTGAATTTATTACATTCTCTCCCAGCCCACATGTGATCAAACTAACTAACTAAATAAATTTCCCCAATGCCAATAATTGTATATTCTGACATGATTTACAGTGCTTTATTAGTGCACTTACTGTCACTGCCTTTGGGAGAAATGTCCCTGCAAACACAGCACTACTTACAGGGAAACACAAATTATAATACAGATTTTAAGCCTGGCTTTAAATCTGTCTCTCTGAAATAGCACCTGTACAAATATTTGCAAAAGGAGATCTACAGGAGGGGAAAAAATAAAAGGCATTTTCTTCAAGGCTTGAATTTGCTGTTGGGTTAATTTGGGAACATTTAATTTAGGGGGAGCACAAGCAGACAAATATACCTGAATCCATGCTGAACTAAAATTGTCAACTGTCAAAAATGGAGAGAAAAATAATTTATTTTAAGTCAGTGCTTGAATTTCCTTTAAAATCAGCATCTTAACTCCTCCTGTGAGGATCCTGTTTTGTTCAAGTGTCTGAACTGGTGGTTTGGAAGCCCTAAATGAAACTTACACAGATTTGTAGCACCACTGCTTTTTAACTAAAAAACACAAGTTCCAGTTAAAAATTTTACTAAATTAGGGCTTTTATAAGGTATATAGGTATTAAATAAATCAATAATTAGGCAAATCTGGAGACGAGGAGTTATTGTGTGATGAACGCCTGAAATTTAAAGTTTTGCAATAGATTTCCTCTCTTAAAATGAGAGTTTATTGCACTGACACATTATTGCACCCAAGATTTTTGAATGCTTGTATTCATGCACAGAAACTCATTGTGATAAATTATTTTATGTGGGAAGAATCTGCATAAATTTATGAAAAAAATAGGACATATTTTCCAAAATTGTTTCTATCCACATTTAAGAAATACTTTGAAATAATACATTTCTCTTTAAAATGATGAAAGAATATAATAAACTATTACCAGAAAGAAACTGGGAAAGATCATTATGGGAAGCACTAATATTTTTAAACAAAATCTCTATTTCCAGTAATCAAAGTTCATCTTGAAAAGCAGCTTTTCAATAGGCACAGAAAGGCTCCAAAGCCAGGAAAGATGACTGGGAAGCAAATGACACAATGACACATCAAAATTATGTCAGTTTTTAAATATAAATTAATGCTTTGCAGTCCATACCCGGGACTGGACATGGTCTGGATCTGTGTAAGATTTGCCAATTCCAAAGGATTAAAAAATCACCCACAACAATAATCCAGTCCAACTCCTGGCCCTGCCCAGGGCAATCCCAAGAAATCCCACCATGTGCTTGATCTGGGAAGAAAATTCTTAGTCAGTAAATCCAGGGAGTTTTGCAATCAACTTCAGTAGATCAATTTTAATCCTAAGGGTGACCTTAAGAGGGATTTTGCATCACCCACTCAGTCCTTTTGCACACCCGAGTCAGCCATTTATACACTTGTTTTTTAGGACCAAGGAAAGATTCCACTGGATTCAGCAAATGAAATCAATCTAAGTTAAAGTATAGAATACATACTTTACCTGAGTACTTACAAACATGGGAGGAAAGCTATACCAGGTGCTGCTTCCTTGGAAACAACTTCTACTTGATCCACGAATCACAGAATCACAGAACGGTTTGGGTTGGAAGGGACTTTAAGTCCCACCCCCTGCCACGGGCAGGGACACCTTCCACTAGCCCAGGTTGTTCCAAGCCCCGTCCAAGCTGGTCTTGGACACCTCCAGGGATGGGGCAGCCACAGCTTCTCTGGGCAACCTGTGCCAGGGCCTCCCCACCCTCACAGACAACAATTCCTTCCCACTATCCCATCTCCCCCTGCCCTCTGTCACTTTGAAGCCATTCCCCCTTGTCCAGTCCCTCCAGGCTCCTGTAAACTCTCTCCATCTTTCCTGTCAGGCTCCCTCCAGGCTTTGGAAGGACAAGGTTACTATAAAAATCTCAACTAGAAAATACTGTGCTCAACAATTCCTTCTCAAGATCTTCCTGACTGGGAGAGTTTTCCTTTCTTTGTGTCCACCCAACTAGAAAGAAGTCACAGCACAGATCTTTTGTTCAAAGTTTATGGACAGTTTGAGTGTGACATTCAGGGAAACACTGGAACAGTTTTTCATGCAATGGAAACAGGTGAAAGAATAAAATGATTATTTATGGAAAGAACTTCCTTGGCAAAGTCTCAACTCGATTAATAACTCAGTAATTCCCCTACTTTGTGCAAAGCAGCACAGAAAATGTATAAAAGTCATTAGAACAAAGCTCTTACGAAAGGATCTAAATTACAACCTAATCCTTTAATACCTCAGATGAAGAACACTCACAGTGAAGTTCAATTGCTTGAAAAATTCTCAATTGAACAATTTGTGCATTGAATAATTTCTGTATTAGGCAAAGCATTGCTTGGACTTGATATATATGCCCTAAACAGAACAAACACGTCTTTGATCTGCCTTAGTTTATATTGTTTAAATAACCCATTAAAATAAATATATTTCATGAACAGTTTATAATTCAAGTGTGGTTTTTTTCCTAAAAGCTGAGTTTCTAAAACCAGAATCATCTTCCTCACAAGATAAAGAAGTACAAGGTCTTTATGGCATTTCTTTGCAACGTTTAGAAATAAAAAAAACCAAAACAAAACACTTTACCATCAGTGCAGTATAAGAACATCCATATGTTCATTGTAGAAATTGTGCAGAGCTGTAGTAATCAATAATTACAGTTAGCAATATTTATTTCTATTTAAAAATATTAATTAATAACTGATTAATACTTGAGAGTCTTCTATTTTCTGAAACCACCCCAAGGCATCTGTCTGTCCTCACACCAAGCTAACTTCAAGCTGTGCACCTTGAGAGATGCTAAAAGTACAAGATCCAGTTACATAAAACATTTTATCAGCTCACCTGGAATTATTTTAAAAAGTTAAAATTGATAGCTTTTACACGTAATGGAAAATTCAAATCATAGAATTGTTAAGTTTGGAAAAGACCTCCAAGATCACCAAGTGCAACTGTCAACCAGCACCACCAGCAAGTTCATCACTAACCAGTGTCCTCAAGTGCCACATGCACACATGTTCTGAACACTTCCAAGGATGGTGACTCCCTGGGCAGCCCATTCCAATGCTTTCCAACCATTTCCCTGAAAATATTTTCCCTAATCTCCAATCTAAACATCTCCTGGCACAATTTGAGGCCGTTTCCTCTCATTTGCAAATGTTACAACAGTGCACAGGAGGGACATGCAGAGCACAAGTTCTTCCAAACAACTGTAGAAACAATAATCCTAAAATTACCTGCAGTGAAAAGGTAGGATGGGAGGTGTTGGGTATACAGGGCCAAAGGGGTCCAAGAGAAATATTGCTTCATTAAATCCTACTTGGCAAATAAAGCTTTCCATCAGGATTGTAATCTCTGAGTATGGTTACTCCTGGTTTACTCAAACCTCCCTCCTTGTTACAGCAGCAGGGCCTTATTGATTATTTTTA